AGAGTTTACACAAACCCAAAAACGAAAATCATGTACAACCAACATCAGTGAGAGCAACGCATGTTATATATGCACATATGTTGATTGGAACACGCAGCTACTGTTGCTCTCACTGATGTAGGTGATAATCACATGATTTTCATTTTCAGGTTTTTGTGAACTTGTATCTCCATTTTTGTAATTTTTTGTTTTTTTGATATGATTTAAAAATACATTGTGTGAAAATTTCAAGATGAATAGACTGAAAAAACTTCCATTAACTTCCACTAAAAGTTAAGAATTTGAACTGTTAAGTTTCCATTTTGGAGATACATCATAGATACAAGCAATAGTTCCAACTCCTTTGTGACTTTAGGGTCTCCTTTTGGATTCTTGTGGCTTTCGGAGGGTTACTTTTGCTAGGTTGCTACTTGGTTTTCTTGCGAGCACTGTACATATTTGAAAGAGAGGGCTACAATTGTGAAACCAATCGTCCAACAGCTTGATTTCAGCCTGGAATACTACAGATAGTTTGAAGGCTGAAACTAGAAAAATACATTTACAGCATTACAAAATTAGTGACATTAATAATTTATCATTGCTAATTCAATACTGTGTCTCTACAATGCAACACTGTATCTCTACACTATTTTTACAGAATGTGAAATTGTGTTTGCTTGTGTACGTTGTGTTAAAAGTTCATGAGGAATGGAGCAATAGAAATGCTCAAAAATTACTTGAAAAAAACTGGTTCCTCTAACTTTCATAGAAAGTTAAGAATGTTTTTCCTTCTCCTGTAAAGTTACCAATTTGTAGATACATGTTTTTTTTGTGACAGCTAAAAATATATAATATATATATATATATATATATATATATATATATATATATATATATATACATACAAAAAGACTGTAATAAACATAGAATAAAAACATACACATTGATCTATTTACTTATCCCTCGATTTACTTATCCATAGATGTATTATTCTGTAGTAACCATTGGGAGGTTAGACAAGCTTTACAGAATGCCTGTAAATCACATTTAACCTGGAGATAACTTTGCATTTACAGTTCAAATGCTACAGCTCTGAGCTCAACCATGCCTACAGCACGTCTGCCACCATGCTTACAGTGTGTCACCATGCTAATCATAGGAACTGGAAGTATTTCCTCTGCCAAAAGAGACTGTATCTCACAGACACGAGCAAAGCTCTGCTCTTCTCTCCTGCCGTTTGTCACAGTGAAGGAAAAATAAGTCTGAATATACACTGCTTATATAGTTTTGTGCCCTGTGGTAGAGGAAGCGGTGTGAATTCGATCAGCAGTCTGAGTTTAATATGAAATGCAACGCTCCTCTTCCTCCCCCCACAACGAGTCCCAGATTAAACTCCCATGTCGAGCGAGCGTATCATCACTGATTCATGACTTATTGAGCCCAGTTTGATCAGGCTTGATTTCCCTCATCACAGAAAGGATTCCCAATTCTTCCCTTGGGGAAAAAAAGCCCACCACCCTCACTGGTGCCTCCCCTACATACAAACCCCCTAACTGTCTGCACAACCCCCACCCAGGGAGCAAAAGGCTCTGGGGTCAGATTTTCTCTTGATGAGAGTCGTCATCCCCAGAGCTGGTGCAGGCTCTTTGAAGAGCATCTCCAGCAGATCTGGAAGATGATATGGAGAAAATATGTTGGATTCTAATGGCACTTGTGATGATTGTAACATGCCTTACAACTAAATAAGCATATATTGGAGAACACTTGATGTGACAGGATTCAAGATTGTCTCAGAGATTGTTAACCAATCATTTGTTGGATCATGTGTGTCTGATTTGATACCTCAAAACCTCATAATCCTATCTAAAGTATCTGAGATCAGTTAGGGTGCTCATTGTACACAAATTAAGGACTCAGCTAAGGGGGTTAGAGCTGTGTGCAAAAGTTAGGGCACCCTGATCAAACTGTTTAGTTGATCTTCTAAATGAAATTATGAATATTGAAAAAAATAAAACATAAAATGTGGTCTGCGCAAAAGTTATAGCAGTTTAGTCTTTTAAATATGTTAAACTTAGCAAATAAATAGAAATTGTGCACCTGTAATGTACATAAAACATCATATTTAAATTCAGCTTATTTCACTTTTATTTTAAGGAAATTGGCAAAGCATAATTTGACTAGGGGTATTTCAACTTCTGCACACCTCTGTATATCCATGCCAAACTTCATAACTCTTTTTTGGGGGGGATTCAATTTTATTTATAGTGTTTCAAATCAGCAAATGGACCAACGACAAAATGACCAATAGAAATAGAGGAGAAAGGAAATGCATATGACTCACAAAAAGCATGCAAGTCAACATTTATAACAGTATTTTTATTCTGTTGTCAACACTGCAGTCTTTGTACAGGTGTGAATTGTTTTCACAGCAGGGGGTTCTCACCCCTCCTCTTTCACCCCTCATTGCTCATTAGCAGCTCAACACAGAGTCACAACATTTCATACACAGAGATCCAACAGCGTCCTAGTTAATCTGATAACAGAGTTACGGAAAAATGTTGAATTCTTTCCTTCTATAAAGTTGCGACAATATCATAGTATTACAAACATCAACGTTACGATAGCGATAGCGAGTGTTTTAGAAGTAAAAGCTGTTAAGTCTATCCTTTTTGTTGTGCACATTCACACAACGTTGTTTAAATCTACATTGTTTAAGTGCTCTGTACCCATTCTGTGAATACACATTGCTGCTGTAGGGATAAAACCTCCTATCTCCAATTTTTCAGTTTTTCGGTTTTTGACATAATTTCAAAATGCCTGTTTCCCTTTACATTGTATGTAAATTTCATGATGAATGGACCAATAGAAACAGCCCAAAATGACTTGAAAAAATGTTTGGTTTCATGTTTTTCCTTCTTCTGTAAATGTACCATTTTGGAGACACAAGGTTTTGTTCTGATAGCAGTGACATAATGTTTTTATATCAAAACTTCATAACTCTTTTTTCCTGAACCTTTGAAAAAGCGAGCAGTCCTTTACATTGTCTGAACATTTTATGATGACGAACCAATAGAAATAGGCCCAAATTACTTTGCTGATGCACCCATGTATACAAACCTTGTATACATGATCTAACCTGGGGTCATTGTGGGTTTTGGATCTTTCAATATCAACGTTTTGAATTAATGGTATTTATTCATCTCATTTTCTTACTGCTTGCATTCCGTATGGTTCATTTGCAAAAGCACCAGTTCCTCCTTCATGCACATGTACTTTTGAAGTACACAGCTCTTGTTTACTCTAAATGCCGGGTGCAGTGCTGGCTGATAATTGAAGCCAGCATGGTTTTGGGTTCCGTTCTACCTGCAGCGTGTGCTTGTGGGGGTGGCCTGGATGTGCGTGTGTGGGGACCGGTGGGGATGGTGGCGGGGTTGGTGAATATCCAAACCCTCTGATTAAAAGCTGGGCGCTTACAGAAGCACCATATCATGCTCACTGAGGTGGCAGTACAGAAAGAGTTGTGGGGGGTGGGGGGTGAATTAAGCTTTAAAATGGCTGCTGCTACCCCAAATAAAATGACCTTTTTGGGGGCCTTTTTTCACTCTGCCCTGTTGGAAGTGGGATTATGTGTTGATTATGCTGATCGGCGTACAAATCCCCTCAGCAGCGGTGTCATCCCCGTCATCAAACACGGAGAGCAGCCGCTTCAGCTCCTTTCTCTTTACAGCCTGGGCTTATTCTCATCTAGAGATGTGTGTAAACGTTAATGTAGCCCTCGGTTTCCTCTTCTAACTATTGGCTGCCTCACGTCTCTTTCTCTCTCTCTCTCTCTCTCTCTTTCTCCACTGTCTCTCTCTTTCTCCACTCTCTCTCTCTCTCTCTCTCTCTCTTTCTCCACTGTCTCTCTCTCTCTCTCTCGCTCTCTCTCTCTCTCTCTGTTCTCTCTTTGACTTTTTCTCTCTTTAGTGTTTTTCTCACTCTATTCCCTCACTGTCTGTCTCTCCCATTTACTCTCTCTTTTTCAGTGTGACTCTTTCTTTCTTTTCAGTGTCTGTCTGTCTCTCTCTTCTCTCTCCCCCCTCATTCACTTTCACCCCACACTCTTTCTCTACTTTTCTCTTTTTCTTGCTCTCCCTTTCTTTTATTCTCTCTGACTCACTCTCTCTTTCAACTACTCTCTCACCATCTTCCCTTCTCCCTCTCTCTCTCTCTCTCCCCCTAACTCTTTTTCTTTTATCCCTTTCTTCTACCTCTTTTCTCTCATCCCTTCATTTTCTCTCTCCCTCTCTCTCTCATTCATTTATTTTCTTTCTCACTCCTTCTCTCTCCCTCTTTCTCTCTCTCCTTTCTCCCTTTCGTCTACCCTCTACTTTTCCTCTCATTCATTTTCCCTCACTCCTTCTCTTTCTCTCTTCCCCTTTCTCTCTTTCTCTCCTTTCTCTCTTTCTTCTACTCTCTCTCTCCTTCTCTCTCCCTCTTTCTTTCTGTTTCCTTTCTCCCTTTCTTCTTTTCTCCTTCTCTCTCTCATTCATTCATTTTCTCTCACTCCTTCTCTCTTTCTCTCTCATTCCTTCATTTTCTCTCTCTCCCTCTCTGTCTTTCATTTATTCATTTTCTCTCTCTACCTCTTTCTCTCCTTCTTCTACTCTCTACTCTTCCTCTCCATTTTCTCTCACTCCTTCTCTTTCTCTCTGTTTTTTCTACTCTCTCATACTCCTCTCCCTCCCTCTTTCTCCTTTATCCCTTTCTTCTACTCTCTCTCATTCATTTTCTCTTTCTGCCACATATTCACTCTCTCACGCTCTCTCAGACACACACACAGAGACACACACTGACACTCTGACACTCTCTCTCTCTCTCTCTCTCTCTCTCTCTTTCTCGTGCAGCTCAGCCTCGAGGCATCCCATTTCAGTTCTTCAGCTTCCAGTCAGAGAGAGAGAGAAAGAGAGAGAGAGAGACAGACAGAAAAAGCGAGAGAGGGGAGGGGAGGAAAAGAGGAGGAGGAGGGGGGTATATATAAGAATGGTAGGTGGGAGTGGAGTGGGGTCTGACCGCAAAGTGTCTACTGTTTAAGAGAAAGGGACTCACCCTCCCTCTCTCTCTCTTTCACGCACTCGCTCCCTCTCTCCGGCTGCAGCACCAGCAGGCTCCGTGCCTACATGGAACACTACTGCTGAGAGGAGAGAGAGAGAGAGAAAAAAAATGACACAGCTGGCATCTCTCTGAGGGAAACAAACAAACAAACAAACAAACAAGAACTATCACACAAAGAAAAGAAGCAGACCGTCGAGAGAGAACTTGCAGAAGTTTGTGAACCCTTCACATTTTTGATCCCAGAGAAAGACAGAGAGAGAGACTCACTCAGTAAAGGTAAGCGCACAGGACTCAGCCATCTACATCTACCAATCAGAGTTAGTGTGCTGTGTTACATTCACTTCATTCTGTCTTATTTTGCTGCTGGATTGTTTTAGCAGTTCTGAGCTGCTGATTCTGTCTTTAACTCAGTTTCTTCACTGAGAGCTTGAATTGAGTTAATGTTGTTGGGCTCTTTCATTAAAGACCCTGTGTTGGATTTGGACTGCAGTGTTGTGGAAAGTAGACTTTGCTAATAGGCTGTGCTAAGTGATGGGATGATGGGAGTGACTCTCTCTCTCTCTCTCTCTCTCTCTCTCTCTCTCTCCTCTGTTTCTATCCATCTTTTTTCTTCTCTCTTCTTGCTGCTTCTAACCTTCTTTTCATTTTTCTCTTTCCTTCTCTTCTCCCTCTTTCTCTTGTCTATCTCTCTATTCCATTTTCCCTCTTTCTTTATCTCTCTACACCTCTCTGCTTCCTCTTTCTCTCCGTTTCCCTTCTTTTCTCTCTTTCACACTTTCTCTTTTTTCTCATTTCCTACTCTTTTGCTTGCTTTCTATCCCTTTTTCCCTTCTCTCTCTCTCTCTCTTTCTCTCTCTCTCCACGTTTTCTGTCCCTCTTTTTCTTCTCTTTCCTTTCTCCTTCCATCCCTCTTTCTTTCTCTTCTCCCTCTGTATCTTGTCTATCTCTCTATTGCTTTCCCTCTTTTTCTCCTTCTTTCTTTCTCTCTCTCTCAGTCTTCCTCCCATGTCTTTCCTGTTTCTCTCTCTCTCTCTTCTCTCTCTCTCATTCCTCACTTTCTTTCTCTCTCTTTCTCCTTTTCTCCCTCCCCCAACGCTCACTCTTTCTCTCTTTCTCTCTCTCCCATTCCTCACTTTCCTTCTCTCTTTCTCCGTTCACCCACCTCTCTCTCTCTCTCTCTCTCTCTCTCTCTCTCTCTCTCTCTCGCCGGCTTTCTCACAGTGAGAGACTTCTTCTAAGGCTGCTCCTGATGCTCTTCATTACGGTTTATGAGTGAAGCCGCTAGCATTTTTTTTTTGCTGGCAAGAGCAGCTCCTAAACAGGGAGAAGTGTGGCTTCAGCAGCTTTTTCCAGTGTGGTCTGTTAGCTCTGGCTTAGCGGGTTTGCATTACCTGCTGTAGCATCCACACCTGGCTCTGCAAGGGCTGATCGAGTAACGTCCAGGCTGGGTCAGGAGCAGCTGGTTTGCATTAGCACCGTTCTTTAGTCTTCCTCCAGCTCCTGTAGGCTGTCAGCTGCCAGCTTCTTTCCTCTGTCACCTCATGGGTTAGGAAACAGGACATCATCGTGGGTGATATCCGTCTGTCCGTGTGTGAGTGAGTTAGTGTGGGTATCAGATGGAGATTTTGATGAGGAGGAGGTGTCTCTAACAGAGACCCTGGGCAGAGCTCTGGGCTGTAAGCTGGATGGAGGGTCCTCATAAAGTGAAGGGTTGTCAATGAATAACATGATAAACTTTGTGCACAAAGTGTTTTCACACTGTACATACATATATATTTAATAATTTTCTTCATTTTAACTGCAGGCATATTGTTCAGTTACTGACCTTAAGAGTTATCTAGTAACCACCTATCCATGCTCCACCCATAAGTGTATTGCATAGCCACTGTTGTGAGGTTGGACAAGCTTTAAAGATTATTTAAAGAATATTATCATAAGATTGAATGGGAAAAAATCCCATGCAACGTAATGATATACTGTAGCATAACTTATATGAAATATCACACTCTTAGGATAGACCCAATGTAGTTTTTTTGGTCTTGTAATTGTTAATGTTAGTATGTCATTGCTGACCTGCCTTGTTTTGATTAGTCTCATGGGGCTAGACATAAACTCATAACCAAAACACACATCTGGGGACAACTTGTTAAACTTGTGCTGTTGGATTGTGGCGAAATCCACTCCAAACAACGGTCTGCAGCTCTAAAACCTACCCACAAATTCCTCTAGCTGGCACTGCCTTAACAACTGGAGTACAATTCATTACTCAAAAAAAGTTAGCTAGTGAAACGATAGATGATGTCTATCTACATGCTTGATTGGAGTTTTGGGGGGATTCTTTTAACCATGCTAACTTACAATCATGGGCTAACGATAGGCTTGTTGTCCATTGGACAATTCTGACGAGCACACTGTTGCCCCCTACCTTGAGCTCCACCTTCATGAAGCATTGGATTGATTTAGAAATTTCACACTCAGTTTGTTCCCACCCTAGTAAGTCTACATTCCCACCCATATTTAGCCTAATGTTATCATGGTTTTCCATAGATGTTCTTATTTAACCTAATCATGTTTGATTCAATACAAAAGCATTGTCCAGCTTGGTAGTGTAGAGATATAAACTGGAAATTCAACATTATGTAGTGATTCTATGTGAATAGAAATATCACTAAAAAATATTTTTATATTGAATGAGAATTTTTGCAAATTTTCTGTAAAGCTCACAGCAGTTGCTATGAAAGAACACATTTGTGGGTGGAGCTTGGATAAGTCTTTATTTGTAAATCTTAACCCTATACAAATCTAGGCTTGTTATTAGCAATTATCTTAAGGTTTATGAATCAGTAACTGCTATGAATTATCCATAAACTGCTATTAATTAACAGCTACTATTGATAATATGTGATGTATATAGTTATGACAATGGAAAGGAAAATTTAGACCAATTGACGAATCCTTGGACTTTGAGCAGATAATTATTTGTCAGTTTTAACGACATGTTATGTGTGCTGTACCAGTAATGACAGATTTCATCCTCTGTGTGATATATTTGCCAACTTTCTGCAACAGTTGCGGTGAAAGAAGATATTAGTGGGCGGAGCTTGGATATGTCCACACATTTTCTTTATTCATTTTACCCTCTTAAAAATCTAGGATTATAAGTTTATCCAATAACCCACTGATAAGTCCTTAGAGTTTAAGCAGTTAATCATTTGGTTTTTAATGTTCATTTTAAAGATATGTTATAAAGTGTGCTGTACCGATAATGACGAATGTAAAATCTGTTTTATATAGTTATACATCCACTTTTATTTCTCTGTTGTTACTGGCTGTTCAGTCCCCAGTGCAACTCTAATTATCAAGGGGCACATTATGGCTGCCAACCACCAAGTGGCGTTGCCCAGGCACAGAGTGTAAATGTTTTATGATCGGTGCGCAGGGTATTCACTGACAGTGCCACTCAGAATAAAGATGAGTGAGAAAGCCGCCTTTGTTTGAACAGCTGTTAGCGTTAGCCGCTCCTGGCTTGGTAATACGCTTGGAGCAGCTGTTTGGAGCGGAGTGGGCTTCACTGCTGCTGTGGAGATTCCACTCATTTCAGAGCACGTATATCTGTCAAGAAGCTCCTGCGGAGCACCTGGTACATGGAGGGGAAAGAGGAGGATACATTTCTTTTCCTTCAGTGCTTCATACCGCACTCCTCCATGTGTGTCTCTCCCTCTCTCCCTCTCTATTCCTTTCTCTGTCCTCATTATGTCTTAGACTCCCGCACACACTCACACATTACTTTCTATAGGGATTTAGTCTATCCGTGTGCATGTATATCTGTATCTATAGGGATAATATATAGTACTGTGCAAAAACAAGAGACCACCCTTCATTTATTTGTGCAGTTATGCACGTTATTCATTTTTCAGGAGTTTTTTCTGAAGAGATTCAAAATAATATTTGTATAAGGAAAAGGAAGATAACTGACAAAACAGGATTTTCCAAAACTGATCCCAAAGACAGGATTTTCCCCTGCTTTCCCCTGTAGATTTCGTGGTGAAAGCAAGGATTGGTAGCTGTAATAAAGGCAGATTGCGGACACACTAAATATTAAGAAAATAAGAATATATTTAGCTGTTGAGGGTTCTGTGTAATTTCCCGTTAAATATATATTTTCTGCTTTTTTCCTGACTCTGAAAAATGTCTGTTTTGACTGGAAATTAAATAGATGAAGGGTGGTCTCTAACTTTTACACAGTACTGAATATATATTACTGTCTATAGGATACAGTTGGCCTGTGTGTTGCTGTAGCTAAATGACTCTAATCCAACTTCAGTCTGAAGAACAATCTGAATACAATTTCCCATAAAATAATTTGCCATACTTTTTGCTGATAGACCACAATAACCTAGCTATGCTCAGATTCACACATTCACTGTTCACTATGGACCTTTTGCTATATAGTGAACTAACTGGGGATTGATCATATAATGACCACAATATTCATGGCAGCTGAACAGCTGAAACACTATGTAGTGTATTATTTCTCCAAGAGGGAGCAAAAATGAAGAAAACAGAATGATAAAAATCACTTGAATGTTAAGCAAAAATGACGTAAACAAGATCTCTAGAAAAGTAATAAATTCCAGGCCTGTCTGCATTGCTAGCACTGGCCGTTAAGTTCTAGACAGTGTGATGGCGTAGGCACTGACAGACAGGCAGCAGGTCATTAATACGCTCTATAAAAGAAGCTCCTCTTTCTCTTCCAAAAATGGCCATGGAGGCATTCCAAATGGTTCATATGAATCAGGGAACAAAGATTTCCTCAATACACTCCAATGTGTAAAAGTCCCACACAGCTCCAGACTGTTTTAATGTCTGTCTGAGGCTAAAGTAAGAAGTCTAGGAAAAGCGACCAGGCTCATAGCAGGTGTCTCCGTTGGTGGCGTCCAAGAGATGAGCACATGTGGCTGATTCTGCAGCGACGGAGGGCCAGCAGCAGCGACCTCTTGAACCGGAATGTCCACTATTACATGAGCAGGCACAAAGCTGGCCAATTGAGCAGAGCAGACAGTTTAGACTGGGAAATGGTCTAAAGAAGAACCATAAAGCATACTACTGTAGTGCGGGGTTCAAGGATTTGAATGGATGGCACCCTCCAACATGACCCAGGCCACACTTTTGGGCCTCTGCTGTAAAAGGAAAAACAGATGTCCATACATCACAGCCAACACATTCCTGCTGCCGGATGGAAGCAATAAAGTTAATTTTGGACTGTAGGTTTTGAT